AACTAAAACCAAATTCTGCCAATAGGTCTTATTTGCCATCAGCTTTCTTATCCCAGAAATGGCAGTATTTTTGTGAATTTGTTGCAGCCATTCCGTAAAACTGTCGCTAATAGGAACTACCTGCATTTGTCACGTGTCAGCAATAGCATTAGAACTGTAGCAATGCTTTTAGAAATTTGAAGCAGGATTTTCTAAGACAGCCATAATGCCAGAAAAGTGTCACAAATGCTATGCTATTACAATAATTTGTGTCGCGCTGTACACATTTTAATAATTTTTTAAATCATATTATTTCAATGTTGCGGCTATCACGCATTTGGCGCGGGTTTTATTTATATTTTATTGCAAATGCTATGCTGATTTGCCCTCAATCGGTTGATGTCCTAAAGGACAAAGGGTTACTTAGCAAAGTGATTGTTCACGGACCTAAGGTGAAGCTGTGCTCCCTTTCAAAACCCATTCATGTGCAAGCAAAATTTAAAAACACATTTTTCTTGCAAATGATTGAAGGGAACACAGCACACATGGGAATAAGGCATGCAACATATGTATACTTTGTTTAGTTATGCACTGCATTCAAAATAAATATTTCTGTTGACCTTTAGGTGCATACGAGGAAAAAAATTGTAAATGTTTGCTATGAAATTAGTTTTTTTTTTTTTTTTTTTTATTAAATAAGTCACCCTTTCACCCTGTAACCGCCAAAACAAATCAGTAGCCAGCAGCATGCATTAAACAGTGCATTTTGTGAGCACTGCTTCAGCCTGCAGAGGGGGATGAGGCTTTGACATTGATGGTTATTCAGCCTCCCTGCTGTTTGACAAGCTTCCACCGTGATGAGGCAGCTATTACAAAGCAGAGATGAGAACCTTAGTGACAACGGTTAATGTTTTCACGGGTGGGGTGTTATACTACAGCTTTACAACACAATCAAAAGCTGGACTGTAGAATTGTGTTTGAAAAAAAATATGTTTGAACATTTCAATGATTTTTTAATAGTTAAAGTGGTCAAAATCGATGATCGTTTTTAAACGCAGTTACATACAAAATTTAGAAGCAGAAGGATGGACGACGCTTCTCGGACGGACAAAATTCTAACAGTGAATGTGATTTTCGTTTGGGAAATTCCATTCATTCCAAAATCCAAAGATAAAACCAAACGAGTAGATTTTTGAACAAATGTTCCTAAGAAAAATCTCATCAGAACGTTCCATAATCCCTTCAGAGACTTGACAATTGGCGTTTGAAATTCAGTTTGATTTAACATTGGCTTTTGGAATTACTGGAGTGTCACAAATGAAAACGATATTCACTAATAGAATGTCGTAAATTCTTGAAAAATTTTCCAACCTGCTCCTTCGAATTATGTCATTACTGCAGTCGAATTTGATCGATTTGGCGCCATCAATTATTAGAAAGTCGAATGAACGTTCCAAAATCTATTGCGTTTGTTAGAAATTTGTTCCGTGTATAACCTGCTTCAGGCTACATTCACACGGGGCAGCTGGGGATTCCTGCGCCATGAACCTACAGATTCTTGCAGCAGGAATCCCAGGTGAGTCCATACATATGCGGCTGCTGGACCCACTGAAGTTATTGGCAAGCTAACAGAGGCCGCATGTGATCATACATGGTACCTGCGGTTCCAATTTTCTTTGTTTTAAATCAGCTCAGTTTATACCACCACACGTAGTACCTTTTTTTTCCCAGCGCAGTGCGGTGTGACGTGGTGCAACACAGTGCATCTTGCTGGGGTGTTAGAAGTTAATGAAATGTCACTCATGACATTTCAATAAAGTTCTAAAACATCAGGGCATCAGCAATGTACCTAGCAGCGCACACCAGCGACTGTGCATTCAAGCAAGTGAACGGGGCCCAACTGATTAGTATGTCATATTTTGTATCTTTATCATACTCCCTGATGCACCTCTTTCTTTACCTAAAATGTATCATATATGGAATGTGTCAGAAAAAAGAAAAACCATTTTCGAAAATCGATTTTAAAATATCGGCAAAACATTTGTGCCCACGTTCACAGAAGCACAGCAGACAGGCGGATGTAGAATGTCAATGGCAGCTGTCTCCCAAACCTGACAGGCATTTTCCAGGAACAAACATTGTGTCTAAAACATACAATACCACTTGAAAAATGCAGCTGCATGTTGTTAAGATACAGGGAAACTGTCATTTTCTTCCCCAGACATCTCCAAATAAAAAAAAACATGTTTCTTAATTGTGTTATGTGCAAAAAGAGAGGAGCGCATTCGTATGTCGTTTAAACATGTAATCATATTTAAATCTCATTCAGTCCATCATAGTTACAAGACAACATTTCTTTCAACGTATTTCTATCACTTCAGGTGGTCAGATGTGGAAGCTCTCGCATCATCTTTTAGCAAGGGAAACAAAGGGGGGGTGAGAGAGAGAGAGCGCAAATAAAAGTGCAAGAGACAGGACAACATTGAGGAGGGAGAGAGAGAGAGAGAGAGAGAGAAAGAGGAGAGAGAGAGAGGAGAGAAGAGAGAGAAGAAAGACAGTTCACACCACGTTGCAGTGGTGTGTGCTTAAGAGAAGTACGGCATGCAGTAATTTTTTTTTTAAAGGAGAACTATGGGGTTAGGGCTTTTCCCCATAGTTCTCCTAAGGGTAACAGGAGGACACAAACAAGCGTCCTCCCGTCACCCAAAGCTCAGTATACCGCGAGCTACAGGCTCGCATTATACTGAGACGCCGCAGCTGAAATGGATCCCGACAATTATGTCTGGGTCCACCCAGCTGCGTGAGTGACAGGGGCCTATCTAGAGGCAGAGCCAGCTGTACCCGCCCCCTCCCCTGTCCATTCCACGCTGGAGGATCGGACAGGGGAGGGGAGAATCCAGTCACTCCCCTGTAATGGCTCGTACACCAGCAGCCGTGCGGTTGAGCGCGGCTGCTGGTGTGAAAAGGCCCTAAAAGTACTGAAGTAATAAAACAGTCAGCATCACAGTCAGGCCACTGGTATTTCTAAAACTAGAAGTCAACAGTAGTGGCCTCATTATTTGGTACATGTTCTGACGACTGGTAGATCAAAACACTGCCTGTATGTGTGCTCAGTGCTGAGATGAATGCAGCAAGCAGATGAAAACACGGCAGGAGTTAGGCTAACTCGTGCTTTAATCAGCAGCCACATCTCAGCTGTCATCCTCATCTCACTTGACAGGGAATGGTTCAATCCAGTGGCAGAACTGCAGTGATCAGCGGAGGTCCACGAGGCTGGAGGAGGACCAAACTGCCACAAAAGACGATCTGGGAGCACGACAGTATAGCTGCCATACTGGGACCCATCAGGCAAACCAAACACTACTGGTTTTCACACATCAGAGAGCTCTACTAATCCTAACAACCAGAAATGTGTCAATGCAATTATTTACATATATAAAATTACTCTATTTCTAAATACAAGGACTCGTATCATGTACCACAATTATAAGTATGCCGCTCTAGGAAAGAAAAAGAAATCACATGTGAAGCCTCTAAAACATGTCATGCTCCCAATTCAGTAAAGGTTTAATAAGGCATACCATGCACAAAACCGAGATTGAGACAGTGATGGACTAGCAACTTCTCTATCAGTTTTGACAGGTATTGCTCATTTTCCCCTAATGCATTTTAATGCATGATCTAAATATATGACAATGTGCGCGTAGAGGAGAGATTAAATTATAGCAAGCACAGCAGTTACAAAATGAGAGGTGTTATCCCACATATCAATGTATTAGCAAAGCTCAGACACTTGACACGTACAATTTTAACAGTGTGCTGTTTAACTACGGGAGTTTAATATTTGGAGAAACAAATGCAGACTTGCTGACCCCCATGAAACAAAGAGCATAGTAACAAACATGATTAACATACTCCCCAGGCAAATTATGTAAATACGCCAGTCTTGATCCAGAGAATGGCCTTCTAGGTAATGCCATTTACCTACGGCTTCCCACAAGCACAAAACATTTTGTGCATAAATGTCGGTGTTCCCCGTAAATGCAATATCGCTGTGGGTAGCCTGCAGAGTGTAGGTCTACAGTAAAATACAGCAAGACATTAGGGTTGCAGGGAACATGTGCTTTACTCAAACATTAAAAAAAAAAAAAGACTCACAAATGTATTTTTATACTCTAAGCTGCCTTGGATTTGTCATACCCTGCTAAAACCAATTATAGCTAAATAGAAAAAAAAAAAAAAAAGACTTCTAGAAGCAGAATAAGAATGGCTGGAAAAAAATTATATTTTGGCATGCAATGTGCCTTCCTACTATTGAAAGCTAAACAGTCATCCTATTGAAAACAATTTATTTAGGAATGTATTTTTTTAAACAGAGCTGTCGCCGTCTGAGCACATTATAGCCACTGGATGGAGCTGAAGAGCATAGACATTTCTATGGCCCTCCGCGCCATCTAGTGGCTATAATGCACTGCCAATCTCAGACTTAATCCTTTGCAGAGTGGACAGATCTGCGAACGTATTAAAAGATACACCCAATAGTGTTTAGCAGATACAGGTCAGCTACATCACCTACAATTGTTATTCACCTTGGTTTTCCTTCTTAGGAGTGAGAACTGTGATGCACCCAAAACAGAACACAATGCAGCTTAAATGCAGAACCCAAGTCTTAAATCCAATACATTGGGTACAGCAGGAAGGGTTACAAGACAGTGGCAAGAAATCTGTCACAAGGGATACATAGGATGCCTTGCTAGTTGGCCAGATTGATTGGCTGCCAATTCTGAACCTCTGCCTCCAATATTGTAGCTAGAGCCAGCAATGCAACTCGCATTTTTAGAGTTCAGAAATGGCAGTTTGACATATTTCTGTCGAGCCAGATCTTCTTTATCCCACCTTTCTTTGTTAACAGGAGAGACAACGCCCAAAGGTAGCATATCCTATGACAAGGTGCCTAGAGCTCTGAAAGGCTTCCTAGCAGCCGAGGTGAGACTACCTGGAGTAATACCAGTACGGCTTGTCAGGCCAATGGGCTGTTTGCTGATGTTCCTAGCTTAAGAAAAGGTTATGCGTTTTGGGAACTTGGGAGGCAAGCGAAGGCTAAAAAAAAAAAAAAAACAAACCTGGATCTTTCATAAGCTACTTCTACCCAACCTCAGACAAAGATTAGTTCATAAATACCAAACATGGGCAATGTGTAAGAGCAAGGTATGCAATAAACAAGCACAGGAGCCAAACTTCTTGCATTTAGAATATATAAAGGATTTGGTGTTTTTTTTACCTGGGATGCAGCACATGTGGTCGGCTGCTGCCATCATCTTCCTGTTTGATTAATGGGTACCAAGCAGGCAACTCCAGGGTCTGTATATGCTCCGTCTGAAAATGAACACAAGAAACAACTGAATGATCTCTAAATGATAAAAAAAAAACTGGCAGACACAAAACAAAATAATTTAGTGGTTTTACTTTGAATCAAAAAGAACGAAAAACTCGTGAAATTCAACCGCTGGAGAGGATTTTAAAGACAGGCAAGTCTAAAGGCGGCCTTTTTTAGCCAACCGAATAGGAGTCTACTTACTAGCCAATGAAAACAATGTGGAAGAAGAAAACAGTTCAAATGTCTAGTCTCATAAAATTGTATTGTAAGGTATTTATGACAGTTCATATTGATGCAAATATTTATACTGTTTTCATTTTGAATTTTATATGTACATAGTGGCAGCCATATTTAGTCCTGAAATATAAAGGCTTTGTTTCCTGCTTTGAAATGCTACACAAAGCTTGTGATTTACTTATCCTTCTTACAATGCAAGACTATATTAGGGAAACAATAATGGTTTCAGATACATTTCATTTTTTTTTAATGTATTATAATTTTAAAAGATGTTTTCTAACTGTTTATTATTCAAATACACGATTTGTTTTAGAAATGAACAATGTACACAAGGGGCACACATGATAAATGGATTCAGAGACCATTATGGGTCATTTAGGGAGAGCACAGCAAAAGCTGTAAGCCCCTAAAGCTGGCCATACACTTTACAACCATCGCAAGATTTTCATCTTGCGACGGTTGTAAGCCAATTAAAAACTTGTACGATCTGCCCATCTTGGACAGGCAGATCGTACTTGCGATCATCGCAAGTCCACCCCGCTGAGGGGAGGGCTTCTGATGACTGCAATGCTGAGCGGGCAGTGTGCGAGGCATTTGTCTTACGAGCACGCCACAAACCCGACGAAAATCTTACGATTATGCTGCTCGTAAGACAAAAGACGTGCGACCGTACAGTAGAAACGGTCGCACGCCTTCCATACACCTGCCGATTATCGTACGATCGCGGGATTTCCTGCGATTATTGTACGATAATCGGCAGGTGTATGGCCACCTTAAGATTCCGACTATTTGAAACTGGAGACCACTGAACACAGAAAGAGGGATAGGGATTAAATCACTGCTCTCTCTTATTAAGGCTTGTGTGTAAATTTCATCTTGAGCTACTGAGCTCTGTAAACATGTCTTTTTTTATATATACAAAACTAAGTAGGTAAGGGTATCCTAGAAAACATGGCGAGTTAGAGCACTGCCTGCTGGACTGACATAAAAACACAAAATGTTCATATGAAATATTTCATATCTACCCAACTGACTACACAGAACTAAAAATCAGAAAGTACAAATAAAGCTATGAATACAATAGGCACCGTAACCAAAAACCAAGATGAAAGCACAGGGATTCAAGTTCTAGGTCCAACCTCCTGGAGCAGATTAGAAAATAAAAGTAAGTAGTTCATGGTCTCATGTGTTTTCATATGTAGCCGCATGAAAATGCTGATCATGCCACACATGCCAAATATCCCTGCACAAGCCAAAGTCAGAGCAATCATTTAGGGCCATCATTCATGGTCAACTCTAAACTGATGACCTGTAAAGGCTTTTCAAGCAGTGTGTATGGACAATTTTGTGTACCAAAGTTTTTTTGCCATGTCACGACTGCACATAACTGTGCAGTGCAACATGTTTGATATCTATTTATTCAACATAACCTCATCTTTAACTAAAATTCATTTGAATGCTTTTTTTTTTACAACAGTTGTACTAACATTGTGTGACAAAAAATGCAACTGTTTTGTTTTTTCTCCAAGTTCTCTGCTTTCAGAAAATATTTGGGGGGGGGGGTTGTAAGCAATTTTCAGACATAAAATTTGCATTTTAACTTGCGTGTGCAATGTATACAGTGTGCATAAAAAGCCATAGAAGTGAAAGGGTTCAAGTTTTGAGTACAGCGAGTGAGTGAAGGCAGAATGTTACTCTCACCTCCATATCCCTAGGCCACTGGTTCAATAATTCACTGGCTCAAAAAGCTCTACAATGGTTACTTCCACCTCCAGTTTCCCTGCAGCCTGCTGACTATACAATAGACTGTGCACCAGAAGACTCCCATAGGGAAATCAGTCTGGGTTGCAATATGCTGCCATCGCTGATCCACTTCTGAAATTGCTCATTATCTGGCAGCCAGGTTGATAGACTGGTTTTAATGACTTTAACACCTGCTGTTGCATGCTTGTTTCAAATGTATAATTCAAAAATATTCAGAGGGTTTTTACCTACTAAAGAGCAACGAGGAGAGAGGGGACTGTATACACAAAAAAAAAACTTGTGTACCACTTTAAGAAGGCTGCACACAACTCTAAACATGTTGTGAGTGGGTCTGTCCCCAAGACAAAGTGAGTTTCCTCTTATTAACATATGATTCAGGGCTAGTTCACACCAAGCGCGTTCCAGGAGCAGAGCAGTTACACACCGGATAAAAACGGTGTCCAATGTATTCCAATGGTATTTTGGGCTCTAGTTCTTTTTTGCAAAAACGTCAAAAAACGCGGCAAAACACACTGCACTGCGTGTGCAGAAACTCATGCAGATCTGGTCTGCATTTGGTGTGAACAAGCCCTCAAGAAGCCAAGCTTCTCAAACTTTTTAGCTGAAGCTTATGCCCAGATAAAAACCAAAAAAACAAAACTACCCTTGCAGTGTGGCTACTCTGCACTGCAAGGGTTAACTGCCCACTTTTGTCTAGGGGTATGGTGTAAAGCACTTTTACCTACCTGATCCCCACACCTACCGGTTCCAAGACCGCCGCCCGCAGCCTCTTCCCCCTGACGTTATCTTGTCTTATCCAGGGCCCACATCCCTGCATTAAACATGAGGATGCCGTGGGACAGCCCACAAGCCATAGTGGAAGGGAGAGGGGTGATCACCAGGGAGCAGGAAACAGGTAAGTGAAAGACCCTTAACACAGCCTCCCTAGACAATAAAAAGCAGTTAACCCTTGCAGTCCATGGTGAAAAGCTAGACCCCTAAATTTCTATTCTCATCAGCGCCATGTAGGGGTGCTAGTGCCACGTGAAAGGCATCCACCCGGCATATGACTATTGGAAAAGAGCAGAACTCTAGGTACAAATGATATTAACCTTTGAAGTGGGGCTACGCCCTCACTGCAAGTGTCAAGTGCTCAATTTTACCTAGGATCAAAAGTAAAAAGTTATACTCACCAGATCCTCCAAGCCAGCCGGCTTAGACTGGCCCCTGGAGCCTCTCTCCCCCTCTGCTGCAGGTGTAAGGTCCCTGAGTCATCATGTCCTATACACAGTGTATACGACGTACCATCGCTGCAGTGGAGGAGAAGACAGGCAGGACCCTTCAACTCTTATAGTGCAGGGGTAGCATTTTTATTCATAGTAAAAAAGTCTGCAATTGCTCTTCCATTATTTCTTTCATGGTAGATTAATATCCCCGACATCCCTTTACTTCCTCTACATAAAACTGTTATAATTCTTTGTGACATGGTGCTTAGCAGTGCTGTAATGGCAGGTCAGGGACTGTATAAGGCAGGAACCCCAGGCATAGTGCTAAGAATAATATAATAAGGGATAAATACACTCTCACAAGAAATGTATCTTTTTTATGATTTTATGGGATAGCTATGTACAAGATCAGCTTAATGTAAATAATTGTATCAATATGAAATGTTAAAAAAATATATATATTGCTTGAAAAACATCCTCCCCACGTGATGCAGATGACCCAAGCTGGGAGTTTACACAGCCCAGCACCAGCACCATGTTTCTATTTTTCATTGCTGCCAGCAAGCTTTGATATCCGTATTTGGGAGACGGGAGAATAATGGCCTGGCCAAGCATAACCGCTGAGCTAAAGACAGAGAGGCTGTCTATTATCTATTGCATCTACCAATGCTTGTGCCTCATTTCAAACCTTTCTGGGAGTGCTGAAGGAAAAAAAAAAAAAAATTGTACCCAAGTGGTCCAGGGAGTCTCTGTTTTTAACCTGGGTCATCAATAGCATGTGCTTATATTCAGATATCTGCCACAGGGGGAGGCAGAATCCAGACAGTGCACATAAAGATGAAATAAATACACTTTTATTTATGGTGAATGATGTCACTGGGGAGGGAGGGGATCAATGCACTGCACACTACACGTGAAGTAGGAGGGGCAGATGTAGAGGAGGAGGGAGAGGATCAAGGGCTACACAGCAGCGTGTCTGGAAGGCTGGCACAGAGGACGGGGACTTGCAGGTAAGGAGAGAGCTGCGTGCACAGAGCTGCTGCGCATGGACATATATTCGTGGACGCGCAGCAGCGCTCAAGAATTACTGTCAGTCACAGTGACAAAGATCAATGGGGAGGATCCCGGCAGCATTGTCGGGATCTCTCCTCATTGCGGCGCTTAGCCCCGCCCACCATCTTAAAGAAGGGTTTACAGGCTTAGGGTGCATTTTGGCTAATAGGAGTAAATTACACATTATTTAGCCTAAGGAATGCAATAATAAAGAAAAGCTAGAGCCACATAGTTCTCCTTTAGGAAACGATTCAAAATGAATTATAGCATTATAATGCATGTAAAATTCATTAAGGTTACACATGTGTTAAACACAGCGCAATAGTCTAAATGGATCCTTAATCTGTGCCTTGGATCTGTAACTACCACAGTTGTTCTTGCTGAGCAAAATACTCAAAATATGACAAGCTAGGGTTCCTTTTATTTCCACTTTTCCAGCTAAATTGGGAGAACAATGCCTTTCTTGCCCTGTAACTGCAGAAAATTAGCTTTGCAGGCAATGGAAGGTAGGGATGATAGTATCCGTATGATTACAACCCTAGGACACAGAGGGGGAACTCAGGAATAACCAGCCACATATTTAAGCCAAGGGGAAGTGGTGTTCCCTGTAAACTACATTATCTCAAATATGACATTTTGGCAACCGTTGGGCCCAATCCACAACAGCAAACATGAAAGCCCTAGGCTTCCACTGAATGCATTATTAGTCGTGGAACACAGAACTACCACAATCTAACTGG